TGAAAGGTAATATTAATATAATTATACCTGAAGCTAGTCTATATAAGATTTAACCCAAACTTTTAAGTCCAATTCAAGTCACTCAAAAATTTTTTGTTGACTTCAGTACTGACTGGTTGAGTCTTGCGTAAGCAGCTACCACATCAGACCTTGTTATAAGCCTGCCACTGTGCAAGCCTGTGGCACATTAACTACCATCCCACCTTTGTGCATTGACTTTGAGGAAATGACTTTAAACATTATGGATGCCTTAACTGGTCTCATTAAGATAAAGGACTACTCCCATGGGCAAGATTCTTCTTATAACTACACACAGCCATAAATGTGGAGCAAATTCTTCTAATAATGATTTAGCGGATCTATCCCAGTTTATCTTAAGTTAAAATGTGCCTCTTGATCTTTAGTGTCAGGGTTCAACTGAATTTAAAAAGACTAAGGAGTGTAATGTTCCATAAAGATATGTGGAAAATTAATAAGTTCAGTGTAATTAATAAATGTGAGCCTTTGGTAATTATCGTTCCACAACAGCAACATTTATAGTGTCTAAAATGTGAGTATGCAACATAGTTTGGAGGGATACTTTGTTTAGCTAGGAGAAGTAGTATTTAAGGAATAATATGCTTTAAGAAATAAAAAGTGCATTTTCTGAAAACATAATTGGGAAAAAAAATAGCATTAAAACCTTTTACCAGGAACAAAAATTAAAATGTGTTTTGTTTCTGACAGATGTAAATTTGTTATATCAATATGACTGATTGGATTCTAAATTAAAATAAAAATCTTTTAGCCTTAGTTCTTACTTTACTTGAGGGAGTAGATATCTTCCATTCTGATGAGAAAGAGCAAGTGCTTCCTGTAGACATAGGTTATGTCTTCACAAAGAGTATAAATTCTTAGATTTCTTGCAGCTGTGGTCAGTCTACAGTTTTGACATGGCAACTGATTGGTCTTGTATAACAATCACCAAATCGCACGTTGCTAAGTAACCACTCATTTATGAACAGGCTTCTTTTAATTAACAGTCCAGTTCATGCTCTGTAAAATTCTATAATTATTTGACATAATTTCCTTCCTTTTTCCACAAGTTTTACAAGACAGTTATTTTCATCTTGTTCAGCAGTCCTGTGTTGCCTCACTGGAAATGGTCTTCAAAACCCATATTTTAGAATAAATAAAAGGAACAGGCTAAGCACAGGTATCATTGAAATATTGTTCATTAATCCTTCCTGGCTGACCCCAGCACATAGAAGTTTTGATAGATATACATATGGCATTAGTTATTATTTATTTGCATTATAACAAATCAAGAATTTGAAATATTTAATCTTGCAGAAAAATGTTTGAATTATGCATTATATAGAGTGTTCTTTTTAAGAAATTAGTCTTAGCAATGTACAAATGGTACTCCTGGAAACTCTGCCTATCACAGGAGAAAGTATATTGCTTTCCCCTGCCTGATAATTCAAGGTTTCATTGCACTTTTCAAAGTGTTGTTTGAATAAAGGAAAGTTTAATTTTAGGTGATTAGATTCTGCTTCCAGAGATGGTTTCATTTTTAGCACTGTATAGATGCAAACTGTGAGAAAGAATTCTCTATTTAAACAAAGGGTGAAAACCCCATCTTTACATCAGCTCTCTTTTGGCTATATGTCACATTTAATGTGCTTGAGAGAAGAGGAGCTCAGGGAAAGACTTTCTAATGAACTGTTAACTTAAAAGATTTCTGAACAGTAAATGATCTGAGTATGACTCCTCAGCAACAGGCTGATTGAAGGCTTCATTTCATTGCGGTTTAAACCTACCACTACTTAAGTTTGTTACTACCACAGTCTCACTTTCCCCTCTTTCTGAGGATGTATTCTGGAATCATCTGAGAGGCAGATGTGTTCAAACTTTTGGTCAAGGACATGTCAGGATCATGTGCCCAGAGCTTGAGGGTAGAATCAGGCTGAGCTGAGTTTATTTTACCATGAATTGAATCCTAAAGTATGTTGGAGGATCAGGGATATGTGATGACAAAGACAACCACCTCTGGAAAACACATGAATTCTCTTTATTTACAGTAACTATTAGAATAGTAATAATGGTCAAAGAAGATCAGGAAAAGAGCAAGAGACAACTTACCCCAGATATAAAGGAAACTCGGTCCTTAGCTCTCAAAGATTCTGATCAAAATTTCTATTTTCCTATCAGCAGCTGTTCCAACCCCCTGCAACCTTTAACTTTTCCTTTTTTTCCCCTATTTTCAGTGTTCATCTCATTTGTCCTTGAATGTCTTGGTGCTATCTGGGAAATTGGAACACATCTTAGAAACTGTTTTTCTGCAGAACTCCATGTGCAATCCTGCATGTGCTAGAAAACTTCATAAAGCATTAGAAAACAATGAAAACCACTGAGTTATTTTCTGAAGTCAGCCTAAACAGTATAGTTTTTTCAATGCTTCCAGGAATAGTTGGATTGATGTTGCTGATATCTCATCTACCTTCACTTAGAACTTAGAGGCAAAACCTGTAACATTATGAAATTAAACAAACATTAATAAAACTTGAAATATACTTCACAATAATCACTGCTCTTAGCTCTAATGGGAATGAGTTTTCTTTGAATCCTATTTTACCAGTGAGTATGAAAAGAATCTCAGTCTCCATTCTAATTGCTTCACTATGTCAAGATTATTCAACATTTCATTCATTAATTGTAATTACTGCCTTTGTAAATACTTTATGGTGTTCTGGCCACGAGCCAGGTTCCTTGCTCAATCAGCAGGTTGCCATTATGACACTGGTTTCTTTTCCCTATGGTATAATACAGAGAAGAAGCTATTTGCTTAATCTATCAATTTCATTTTAACAGTCATACTTTTATGACTACAATTTACAAGCTATTCAGAGACTTTCATTTTGATTTTCTTCTTGCTGTGCCTAACAAACACTACAATACTTTGGCCTGTTTTCAGGAGCAGAAGATATCAGTGTTTGGGAAGCTTGGGGTAATATTGTGTCTCCGTGTCCAATGTTATCAGTCTGTTGCTGTCTATATAGATAAAGCTAAATGTTTCAGATCACCAAGGAATTTCTTAGGGGCAACAGCACATCTATCAACTTAACCATAAGCCTTTAACAGAGTTACTCGTCAGTTGCTACCATTTATTTTGGAAAAGTATCTAATGCAATTCTGTGTCTACAGTAACAGCTGCCCCAAAATTCAGATTTATAACAGTAAGATAAATTAGTTAATTTTGGTGGATGGAATGGGAGGGCTGTTGTTAAAAAAAAAAAAAATTAAAAAAAAATAGAAAACCTTATCTCACAGAACTTTTAGGAAGCTGCTTTCAGCTAATCATGATTAGCTGTAAATTTTGTTTTTATATTTCTGGTTCTCTGTAAATTATGATCTGTAAATAAATATGAAGTCAATAGAAACATGAAAGAGTGAAATTAACTTCACTTGACAAAACCCAGGTAGTATTCTCTAATAGAGGCAGGAGCCTAAATGGCAGATGAGAAGTGCTATGCATTCCTAAGAAAATATTGAAATTGTTTTACCATTCATTTTGAGACAGAAAAAAAATAGGTTAATGGCAGTGAATGGACATCTTTAAATGTAAAAAGAAGAAAATATTTAAAATCCCCTAGCCTACCTTACCCAGAATTTTTTGATTTCTCTGTTTCAGAAGGTGTTTTGTTCTAACTTACATTCTAGCAAAGCATAGTTTTAGGGATTTTAACCCCTGATGGTGTTTTTGGTGCCCTCTGAAAAAAAAAATAAACACTTCTGGAAATCTGCATGTATTTGGGTCCAACCATATTCTTACGGACTCTGTGGAAGTACAGAAGGTTGGAAGAGCATTGAGCAGGGTTGGAGCCACTGTGGAGCTCTGGGAGTTCCCATGGCCTGGGAATCTCAAGTGGAAGATAGCTCAGCCACATCAAAAACATGGTGAAGGGGGTAACTTGAACAAACTTCACACTTCCTTCATTCACCCCTCCCTTCTCTAATGTGAGGGGTTTCTGGAAAAAATAATAATAATTAAAAAAAAAAAAAAAAAAAAAAAAAAAAAAGGTAATATCAAAGGCCTTCAATTTCAGAGAACTACCTAGAAAATGTGTATCTGGTTGATATGACCTCCAAAACAGGTCAAGTAACAAATTTTCTGCCACCTCTCTTTAAAAGAGCAGAAATAAAAATTTGGATCATGCTCTCACATTTCAGATCCATCCCACATATGTATGGTCTCTGACAAAATCTGTTGTTTTTTGTTGAAATAGTCTCTTAAGTCTGTATATAAATGCACAGAATTGTAAAATAGTTGAACATCTTCAAAATTACTAAAAGGAGCACAACAATAAAAAGGAATATGGAAACCTATTAAAAGTAATTCAATGTCTAATCACAGCTTTTTTAATAACAGCTATTCTAAAATAAATTTCAGTAAGATAATATCTAAACCAGTTCTTGATACCAAAAAAAAAAAAAGAAGTGCTCATATGCTATCAGTTATTGGCAAAAAGAGACAATTAGATTACTTTTTTAACAATAGGACCAGAGAACAAATGCAAAAGAGAATTTCTGAACTCCTGCATAAAGACACATGAAAACTTAGGATGCATCATATTTGAGAGCTTTTCCCATCAGAAAATGGTGGTGGTCAAACTTTCAAAGGGTTCTGAGTTTACACTTAAGTACTTAAAAAAACCTGGCAGAATAAGTATGTGTGGCTGATGTCTGAGCTGAATGGAAATAAACTGTAATCTTCAGTGGTGGTTCAAACTTCCAAATTGCTATGAAGCACTTTTTGCCAATAGCTGCATGGCATTTAATTCTCAGTCAGTGTCATCAGCTACACTCAGATTTACTCCTGAACCTGGATTCAGCTTGAAAATGTGGTTATCTTTCTCCCAATTGTAAACTCATGAGATTTCTTTAATTCTTATTTCTGTTCGGTTATGGGAATTGAGATGCTAATGAAAATGCCTATTCTAATCTGTTTACTGTCCTAGCCATAAAACAGATGGGTCCTTCTCAATACAAATAAATTTTTGGAGGGAGGAAGCAGGAGGATGGAAAGGTGAGTCATGACAGTGCAATAGGTGGGTTTGATTATGTTTATAGATTTCTGATTTTATGGTCCATTTGCTAGTCCAAATAGCAGTTAAAACAACAGAGGGGCTGTTCAAATTTCAACATCTAAATGTAGCTTCTAAGAAAATGTATTAAAATGAGAGGCTGGGATGAACCCACTAAATTGGTAGGGTCTTGTATCTGTCTTGAGGAGAGATGTCTGATCTCTCTTCAGAGCAAGAACAACACCCATACAGGGTTTGGCTCTGCCATTTTAAACCATCAAAGTCTCCATTTTTGGCTGGGAGAATAATCAGCTAGAAAAAGGCTAGAACCTAGAAACCTGATAGAGCAGATGAAAGGACAAACTTCACACAGGAGTCTGTTTTTATTAAATATGAAAAAAAAAAAAAAAGTATTTTATCTACTACAGTACTGTTAACAGAAGGTACTGTATATAAAACCAAGTTCATGTAAAGGCCCGATTTTGTTTGTAATAAAGAAAAATATTTTGCTTCCAGAATTTATCCTGACCTTTTCCCAATGGATTTATATCCAAGCAAATAGTATCAAACATCATCCACTACATTTGGATGACAAGATGTAGATAAAGCTGCAGAAAGTGAACAAGATAACTGATAAGTACACAATTAGTGAAGCTTTGTACCAATCATGTCAAAAAAAATAAATTATCTTTTGTTTGTAGTGAAAAATTAAAGCAGATATTGCCATTTCAAATGGAAAAGTTGACTTTTACTTGAAGTTCCACATGGCATTATCTTAATGTACACAATCACAGGAAGTGTGTGCATATATACATATCTATACACAGCAATATATTCATGTCAGTAGATATTAAAATCTCTACCAACTTTAAACTGTTTTAATAGCCACAGTAATTTCTAGCTGAAGACTCTGTATTTAGTAGCTGGCTTTTCAAAAAGTAGCTGGCTTTTCCTGTCTTGACATAGTTATGTTCTAGTACAAATTTTGCCACTGTCTTTAAAAGCACAAGTGGCCTCCAGAGTCCACCCAGATACTTACTCAATCAATACTTAACAATGCCAGTTAGGGCTGATATATTTGACTGTATTTCTGTATTTTCATCCCTCTTTCTTATTTCTGTCCCATAAGAAACAATATGCCTTGTGCCTGCAGCAGGGAACCAGACTGGAACAAAAACAAGAGAGGCCTGAACATTTCCAAAGAACATGATCTTGGAAGAAAGCAGACTAAATGCCAAGTTTATTCCCTCTAAGGCAAAAAAAAAAAAAAAAATATTCTACATGAGTCATTTCAATTTGTCACAACATCTCTTAAACTCTGCTCTGCTTCTGTTGACATCATGAATTCATGTTGAGTCCATAGCAATGTCAAGTCAGCTCTTCACAGCTGAAGGTCCAGTAGTACATCACAGGGAGGTCATATATACACTTCCACTGCTACAACAGAATCTTGATCCCACTCTGCATATTCACTTACATAAATTTCAGAAGAGATTTTGCAAGATTCACATGCCTTGTCATTATTAGTTCAGCAACCAATAGTCATGAATCATAGTTCAGAAAGTGGCAAAAATACAGACAGAAACTCTTCCTGCACAACTGTAAGAGGACTACATATTAATTCAGAGATGTATAGATGAGGAGAACACTGACCAGGTGGTAACGATGAGAGAAATAGCTCTTAACGGCTGCACCTCACTTTTCTCCTCTGAGCTGACAGAAATTGTTAAACTATTTATAATTAACTCAAAAGTGTTAAGAGCTATTGAAGATTATCACTTAACAGAAAGGGTCTATACGTTTGGTTTGGAAGGCTCTGTTGTAGGCTTAATGTATCAAAGGAACTCAGCATGGCATGTAATAAAAACCTGAAAATCCTTGATGGCAGGAAGCACGTTACCACACCATAATTGTAAGTACATATCAACATTTCAAAATCTGTGTTGGTCATTTTGATCTGTGAATCTGTGGGTTCAGAGGAGGCAAGATACCCTTATGACCATTCAGTTGTTATCCCAAAGGATAACTTACCTATTTTATATAAATTTAATATATAAATGGTATTTCCTATAAATACATATTTTTAAAATAAAATAGATTAGATCCTGCATATTTCATGCTCTAGGTAACTCCAGAAATATCATTACTCTGTATTACTAGGAAGAAATAGATGAACAGCCACCCTTATCAGACAAGAAAAAACAACCCTCGGAGTCTACCCATGCAACAAAATCTTGATACATCAGTAATATATGCCAGAATAAAATATATAACTTCATATAAAATACATTGTCTTTCTTTACAATTTGCAGAGGAATTTTTTTAGTTTTCCCTGTGATTAATATGAAACCACTTAATTTGGAATTTTATTTGCCAGGATTTATTTTTTTATTTTGTAAATTTTAACATCTGTAAAAGTTCTTAAACCAGATTTTCCATTCTGCACACAACTCCATTGAGGAGGACCTACAGTTCTGATTGACTGTAAACAGGTTACTATTGTCTGAAATGAAATTTTTATATAGAGATGAATCATCACATCACTTCTATCAGTAATTATTGGTACACAGATTGTTCACTGCAAACATCTGATAGTCAAATTTTGAATTGCAATCAACAGTGATGAAAAGGAAGATAACAAAAAGAGAGTGAAATGAAACCCAAGAAAGACAAGTGATACACCACCCGTTGACTGATGCTCAGACAGTTCCTGAGCAGGGATCTGCCCCGCCTGACCAACTCCCACCAGTTTATATACTGGGTTTGATGTCGTATGATATGGAATACCTCTTTAGCCAGTTTGGGTCAGCTGTCCTGGCTGTGTCCCCTCCCAGCTTCTTGTGCCCCTCCAGCCTTCCACTGGCAGGGCATGAGAAGCTGAAAAATCCTTGACTTAGTATAAACACTACTTAACAACGACTAAAATATCAATGTGTTAGAAACATTATTCTCATACTAAATCAAAACCACAACACTGTACCAGCTACTAGGAAGACAATTAACTCTATCCCAGCCAAAACCAGGATAGGATTATTAATAATCTCATACTAAACTTGTGAGAATATATCTAAAAGAAAATTTATTTATCAATAACAACAAACTCAGAAGAATTGTTAGACTATTACTCAGCTCTAGCTGAGAAGTACCCAGGTTATTTGGGTTTTGAAAAATCAGACATATCAAGTCATACTTTGCTGGTAATAGTGTCAATTACATCATCCATCTCCTTTCAAGCATCAGGCTTCTTTGATATGGTAGCCAACAGTTTTTATTCTAGGGTGAAGTAGTCAAACTATTAATTTTGCTTTAGATATACAGCTGCAATAGCAACTCAGGCATGAATTTTATTAAGTCTGGTATATTTTCTGGTACTTTATAGACCTATAGATTTATATCCATCCTTGTATTCAAGCCCATTTAAAAATGAAATATCATTTAAAAACAAATACCTGAAAAAACACTTTATTCCTAAAATATGCAATTAATATATGAACCAACATACTCTGATCTGGCAAGGATAGAAAAATTCCAAGAATCATTCAATAGCGAAAAGTTAAATAAATGTTAAATATTCTCTCTTTACAGTTTATGTCCCTGAGTTGGCTTGCTTTCAAAAAATGTTTAATACTTAACATGTTATGAAAGTGAGGAGAAATGTTTTCCTGATTTATATCCTTTGCTATCAGTTTAATTAAAGTGGTGCTTTTCTTTTCATATCATTATTCCAACATAAACTGGGATTGAGCAATACTTGTGGTTGCTCGTGGGAAGTGAGGTGTTGGTCTAAAATGTATTTCTGTACTTCAGTGTGAACTAACTGATTTGCTAATAAAACCTGAAAACAAAACGTAAAAGCAGATAATAGAGAAACTGTAAAAAGAGGTGATCTAATCAATGAATGAGGTATATGTTTTCTAGAATAACACGACATATTCTGTATCGTAACTTTTTAAGGTAAGACAATAGCTTTTGACATCTGTGATACATTTTAAAATAAAAACTTTATTCACTAAATAATAATCATAACCAAAACCTAGTTCAACCACAGTCTAAGGAATGACTACAGAATCTGGGTTAATTTGTTAAAATTTTGCCACCCTTACCCAAAGAAAAATTGCAAAACCCAATACGTTTGCTTTCAAAGTGTTCAGAACATAATGGTTCAATTATTAACTAGGAAATTGCATTTAAGACTCAATTTAGGTCAGTTTAATTTAAAAAGGGGAGAATAAATATAGAAATAAAACATTTAATTTGAGAACAAATGTTTGAGAGCCTTTTGAACATTGATGTTGTTCTGCTAAGTTAAAGAAAACTTTTCATTTTCTATATTCCATTCTCTCTGGCTTTTTATTGTCATTGATATGCCTCTATCTAAATTTTTTGTTCAGCTGAACTACAGCTGAAGCTGTAAAATCAAATTCTGACTCTGCTGTGTAGAGTTTCACTGCATATTTATCCAGTCACAACAGACACATTAGGGTGATGTTCTCTGCATTAAATTATAAAAAAAAAAAAAAAAAAAAAAAAAAAAAAAAGCTAATTGGCTTATTGTACTGCTTTGGTGAAAGGAATTGCCCTCTTTGATCTGTAGCATAATGAGATTTATTTTGAACATCAAAGTAATCTGTAAAAACTGAACAAGGAAATGAGCAGATACATATTTTCGTGTCCTCTGAGGAGCAGGGTAAGAATCAGAAATGCAAATGCCATGGGATGAAGGGACAGTCTGGAAGAAAACAAATTCTTGAAAAAAGTAACTGAACTTTGCATTCTGTCACAGTGCACTGAAAGACCTTGACCAACACGTTTTTTTTTCTCTTACAGTGCTATAAATCTAATGGAAATCCACTGACTGCCCCGGACTTTCTCCGAATTCTTGCTGGTGAGCATTGGGTCAGAATCCAATCCCTGATCTTAGTTTATTTTTCTGGCTATATGATAGACAATTTCAACTATAGCAAGATCTGTATAACAGACTCTTAATGCCCTTCACATAACAATACTAAAAGAACCAAATATTTGGAAATAAACTTTTGAATCTCTGTCTTCAGTCATCTCACAGCTCTCTACACAGCATCATCATTGGCTCTTTATAACCCTCTTTGTAAAGGCTTTCAACCAAACATCTTTAAGTGTGAATTATTTCAATCCAAGAATGGGAAGGGGCTCATAGGTAAAACGCTGAACTGAACAGTATTTCAGCAGTGGTGTCATTTGTCATTAAGGGTAAACAGGGAAAATTCATGGCATTTATTCCATGTGACTGTAAAAGACACCCTAGGAAAGAAATAACTGAAAGATATATCAATCCCTTTTTCCAATGTTGAAGAGATTTTTTTTCTTAGAACACAAAGAAAACAGTTTGATTGTTTTAAATATCAAACTTTGGAGGTTTTAGGGTATATTTCAAATTTATACAGTTATGACATAGTCTTCAGTTTCAAACAAACTAACGTAATAGCATAATACAGCACTATTTCAGTTAACAATTTCTAAAGGAAATAATGCTCCTTCTTTTAGATTCAGATGTTCAAATTAACACTATTTAAACTAATTCATGTGCCTTTAATCGAATCTTTTTTGCATGGCAAATGGAAGAAAGTGTTATTTAGCACATCAGAGCTGACAAATTGTAGATAAGCTTATCACAAGGGCATGATATTCACATAGAAATATCCTGTGCTTTCTTCCTCTTAAGTATTACTTCTCAATAGATCCTCTTGTGATTTCTAAAAAGCATCAAGTACCCAGTTCCCACAGATAGATAATGCTGAGTGTGCAGCACTTGTGCAAATCAGGCTATTCATATGGATCCCTAAAATAAAATGCTACATGGTGAAAATGCTTTGGCTTTGGTTTTGGGGAGGGTGAAGTAATTTGGTTTTTTAATCTCTCTGAAACACTGTAACAAAATGTCTTTGAGGTAGAAATAGATTAAAAGCTTATGACAAAGGTCATTCACAAGAGAAAACTAATAGAAGTGTGTCAATTTTGAATAATTTTCAGGGAGTTGGGGGAGAACATAGCATGTTGCTAATATATCATATTAAAATACAAGTCTCAAGTGGTAATATAGATGGATACGTCAAAATTCGTACATGGCATTAACTCTGATTTTTAAGATAATTTTAATTAAGGTGCATGCATTAATTCATTTAAGAATGATTAGAGGTTACTTTAAAAACTGGCACTATATGCCAGCCAACAGGTTTTATACTTGGAATTAGAGGCTAGAATGACTGTTTTCAGTTGCCATATTTTAACCTCTGGTTCTGTCAATCTACCACCCACTTAACCCAGTTCATGACCCAGCAGTGTGATGCTTAAGGTTATGTAGAAGCCATTATTGTATGTCTTGATAAAACCCCCACTTCTCTGCAGGTCCATAATGTTCTTATTCTAATTATCTTGACTGCTTAATGAGGCTGCTGTCTTTTGGACTATTGCCTCTTTTGTTCTAACTTCAGAAGAGAGGTATCAATGAAGAAGTTAGCTAGAGGAAAACAAAAAATTGTTCTTTTATGATTGATAGTTGAAATTCACTGAATGTTTGGGTTCTGCCATGGCTCCTGCAGCTGATTCATATGCAGTGCCAGAGAATTCACTCACCTAAAAATTCACTTCCTAGCAAATATTCCCATCATAGTGACCATTAAAGATAATATCAACTTTGCCATTAAGAAATTAAGACAATAAAAGTTTGTGACAATCATGTGTCTTGAGGAAGACACATAAAATTAAAAGAACTTTAGCGCGCTACGATTTAGTGCAGTGTGATAATAGATAGCCATCACTTGTAAAGTCTAAATATTCACATATAGGGATTCTGATAGCTGCAAAATGAAGAATCTTCTGCATATATGATTTTTAAACTAGATCCTTGTAATCCTTCTGCAGATTTTTTTATTGAGCCTGGGATGAAGGGAGGGGTGGGGGAAGCTGTTCTCAAGATGTGGCAATGCTTCTCACTGTCTTACTCTGTTAAGTGGTGCTCTTAGTGTCTGTAATAAATGTATGTTCTTTCTTTCTCCCCCTAACGCATCTGCCTTTTGCCTGTGACCATAATGGGTGATCTGTCCCTCACAGTCCTATCTCAAATCCCAAGCCTGGTTCATTTGTCCCTTCTCATTGCTCGAAGAGAAGGGATGAGTGAGTGGCTGCATGGTGTTTGGCTGCCAACCAGGCTCAAACCATAGCACAGGTGCTTAGGGATGATTAAAAATTAGTGACAAGATGATATATCTTTGGTAAATGTAATGGCCATTATCCTTTGCATAGAGGAACAATGTTATCTTTGCAACCTAAGTTTTATGTGCTGATACGGAAACTTTTAGTTTTCCAAAAAATATTCTGTGACTCCAGGCTTTGTGTTGAGTGTCATAACAGGAATCTACATTAAAATTCCATCATTGAAATATTCATTAAAATTAAATGGAAACAACTTATTCTTTAAAGGAAAGTGTAGTAAAACAATGTTATAAATGACTTCTGTTCATTGTTTGCATGTGAAAGATTTCAGAAAAAAAAAAATGTGAGCATACCTCTATTTTTTTTTGCAGTGAGAACTCTGTATAAAAGACTGATTAATCATATTTTAATAGAAATTGTATCTATTTGAAATATATTATTTATTTTTGTATAATAGTAAATTAAGTTTGCTTTATAAATCTCAGAGCAATACATTCCTTATATATCAGGGAAATTCACTTTCATTAAGGCTGCATACAGAAGAACAGTTTCAACTGAATTCACATGGTGCAGAATCAGGCCACTGGTTTGTATTATATGTTTTTTCCTATTAGCTGGTATAATGTTGTGTTCCACATATAGGATGAGAATAATGTTGATAACACACTGATGTTTTAGTTGTTGCTAAGCAGTGTTTATGCTAAATCAAGGACCTTTCTACTTCTCAAACTGCCCTGCCAGTGGAGGCTGAGGGGCACGAGAAGCTGGGAGGGCACACAGCCAGGACAGCTGACTCAAGCTGTCCAAAGAGGTATTCCATACCATATGATATCATGCCCAGTATATAAACTGGGGGGAGTTGGCTGTGGGGCACTGCAGCTCAGGTATTGGCTGAGCATCAGTCAGTGTGTGGTAACCAATTCTTTTTTTCTTGATTCTCTCCCACACCCCACTGGGGAGGTAGTGTGTGAGTGGCTGTGTGGTGCTTAATTGCCACCTGGGGTTAAACCACGACACTCTTCCTATTCTTTCCACCATCCCGCTGGGGGGGGGGTGGGGGGATGGGGAGAGAGGTAAGTGAGCAGCTGTGCAGTGCTTAGCTGCTACCTGAGGTCAACCCAACCCATCAGGCAATATTTCTAAATACCATTATAATCTTTCAGGATAGTTCTATCAACTTCCTTAATCTCCATTTAGAAGCAAAATGAGGATTAAACACTCATTCAGGGTCTGAGTCATTATCCATTGAGTTCATGATGAAACTCCCACTGACTTCACCTCAAACACGTCCTGAAGAAGGAAACTTAGTCTTGGAGGAAATATTTATTTCTTTTTCTCACTAAAGGAATGACTAGAAGGAAGTATTTAAATGTTAGATGTTTTCACTTGTACAGCTCTCTAGGCTACTGGCCCTGAGAAGGCAGATTCCTGTAGGCCCAGAGGAAAATTTTTCCTATCCTAAAACAAATGTCAGTATCAAGGTCTTAGAGTAATCTTAAAAGCTAAGTTAAACTGATATCTAGCTCTTCAATGGCTAAAGTTGTCAGCAAGGCATTCTAGCTGAAAAGTTGCATGTAATACAGTATTAAGCAAAATTCAAAAAGTGATGTCCTCTTAATTCTTATTGAATGTAATGGTAGTTCCACAGTTTACATTGACATTGACATTGGAGGTGTTATGTTTGATGCATGGGAAAGGGAAGCTGCAAGAAGAGTCAGGCACTTCCCTATATCTATGTATGTAGTATGTATTTTGCACTTCTCCCAGCTCACATACTTTTGCTCACCTCACACGGTGGGGGGTTCTCACAGTGCATGTCAGGACCCCACAGTGATGTCTCAGCCACCCCATCTTGGTCCTGCCCACCTGTCCTGGGTTGAGAATATTGGAGGTTTTTTTGGTGGCAGGGGAGGGGGCTATCGGGGCGGCCCCCTGTGAGAAGCTTCTCAAAGCTCCCCCAGCTCCAAGTCAGCTCCACTTCTGTTTGGGAAATTGAGCCCAACAGCTGCGCCTCTGCGATCATGTATTTAAGAAGGGACGTGGTGACGGGCAGTAGGACTTGTGAGGAGGAGTTGCTGCAGCTGCATGAACACCAAGGTCAGTGGAGGAACAGAGGAAGAAAGGAGGGGGGAGGTGTGCCGGAGAAGAGACCCCCCTGTATCCTGTGGTGAGACGGCAGGGCGGCCCCCCCCTGCCACCCGTGAAGATCTACGGTGGAGCAGACATTGATTTATGGCCTGTGGCTTCTGCTTGCATGATCAAGGTTCTGTGCCCGAAGAAGGCCGGGGTCTCATGGGAAAAGGTATCCCCGCTGCTGTAATTCAGTGCTGGGAGGATTGCAGCATGCGGGGAAGTCCCATGCCAGAGTAGCTCGGGAAGGGCTGCAGCTGTGGGAGGGAATCCAGTCGGAGAAAGTTAGTGACCCATGACAGAGCAGTGTGAGGAACGCTGCGGCCCATGGGAGGAACTCATGTCAGAGAAAGTTTGTGGAGGACTGTCTGCTGTGAGAGGGGGACCACGATGGAGCAGGAGGAACAAGTTTCAGACACTCCCCTCACCGAAGATGAAGGAAGTGGCAGCACTGACTGTACCCCCCATTCCCTGCCCCTGTGCCACTGGGGGAGGAGGTAGAGATATCAGGAGCAGAGCTGAGCCCGGGAAGAAGGGAGGGGTGGGGGGAAGGTGTTCTCAAGGTGTGGCAATGCTTCTCACTGTCCTACTCTGTTATGTGTTGTTAGTGTCTGTAATAAATGTATGTTCTTTTTTTCTTCCCCTAACGAGTCTGCCTTTTGCTCGTGATCATAAAGGGGAATTTTTCCCCATCCCAGTCCTATCTCGAACCCCAAGCCTGGCTCTCTGTCCCTTCTCATTGCCGGAGGGGATGGGAGAGAGACCTGCTGCATTGTGGTTGGCTGCCAACCAGGCCTAAACCACAACAGCTTCCTTCCTTCCCACCTCGGGGTTCCATTTCAGCCCAGGTCTGCCCTGAACTGTGACACAGGCCAATATGGGGTCACCATTGGTGCCAAATTAAAACCTGAGGTAAGTAGGTGCAAATCTGTAACTGGTGGATTTGGTCTCTTTCAACCTGAGCAAACAAAGTGAAAAGAAGACTCAGAAGACAGAAACAGGAAGACTAGAAATTAGTAGATATTTTGGGAAATCTGAACAGTTGAGAAAAGGAAAAGCAATTGGCAATTAAATACATGTTGAAAAGAAGTGAGGAAAAGCACATTATTTTCTTATGTGATTAACTGTGCCCTTGCTATTCACTGGGAGTTTTGTGAAACATTCCAAAAAATGTTCCCAAATCAAGTAAAATATTTGCAATGGATTTAGAATCATGTAAAATAAGAACCTCTCTATTTCTCTTTGTCTTGCTGTTAATACTAATTACAAAAAGTCACATCAAACCTCTCAAGAGATATTTTTTTTTCCTCATGTGAAATAAGTACTGCATCTCATTAGAAATGCATCTTTACTCAGTATATCAAAATGGACATTTCAGATGTTTTCTAGCTGCCAAGATAAAGATGTCCTCATAAGTGTAGGCAAATGTCTGGGAATTACATTTGTGAGAGAGTTGCTGTAATAGAAACACAAGCATAATTGAGACATTTAAGCTGCCCCAGTGCAAGAAATCCTCTCTGTACATCTGTGCTTCCTGGAACTTTAAACACCAGGGGCTTCGCTTTAACTTGCCTAATACCATGTTCCTGTCAGTAATGATGTCTAAGAATTATCCTGTTAATCTTTCCAATGTCAATTTCACAGAGAGTGGTCATCACAACTCTATTAAATTTCTCCAGGTAAATTCACTTTGCAGGAAGATCCTACATCAAATAGACATTACTGTGAGCAGGAACTGCACACAGCTAAGAAACTCTTGAGGCAAGTGCCACAGCATCTCCCGAACAGCTGTGTTCCTTTGTCACACAAGCACATGTGAGTGAACCAAAGGATCCAAGTGATGGCTCTGTACTGTTTCTTAAGCAAAGCCACACTGAAGCAAGTCATGCTATAGGACAAGAGTTGTCAGACCCAGTTGGATTCAGAGGCCAACAGAATCAGCTCTGGTTCTGAAAACTAAACCTAGGGAAACCAAGGAATCCAGTGAGGTTATACTAAAGAGGTAGGACTACCTTCTAGATTCCAAGAAGCTACATTTGGTTTTAGCAATGATGATGCAGCCCCAAGAAGGAACAAATACTTTCCCTGTTTGTTGATAACTTGCTTGTTGGTGTTATAAAACATCAGCTACAGGCAACAAAAATACACAGAAATTTTCTGGTTTCATAGAAATAAAGATGTCAAACTCCTTGCTCTCTGTCCTGGTTTGAGTATCATATAGAGAACACAGACCTTTCTAGCCATGAAGTGGGAGCAATGATCAGAAAAGCTCAACAATTTTGATAAAATAATGTTTTCCACCTCTCCTTTTTCAGTCTTCAAAATTGTGGATACTTCACACACTTTTATCTTTTAAGAGAAATACAAATTATTCCATTCCTAACAAGCATTTCTGGACAATTGAAATAATTTTTTAATTTTACCTTCTGTCATTCCTTCAAACTTATCTTCCTTATTTTGCTTGGAGGATCTACCAGTGGTACAACACAAGAGCCAGGATTTCACTGGAAGTTTCAGAACTGCCCTTTTCATTACATACAATCTTCTATCTTTACACATGCATTGAGGCTCCAAGTTTGCAGCAGAAGGACAGGAGTAGTCTTTAACTGTGACACTTATAATGTGTAATTTAATAACATATGTAATTTAATAACAGCATAATGTTATTATTTTAAAAAGTATGTTGGCCTCTAATAGAGTTTGGAAGGTCCTCTGTTATTTAAACTGTGCCATTTCAGGTAATGTCTCACTTCTTCATAGCAAAATTAACACAGCTAATTTTGTTTTACTGGGCATAGAGCTTATAGGAAGGAGAGGAATTGTTTTTATTTTGCAAAGATCTTAAAAATGTAATTAATTTTCAACATGTGTTATTGTTAGGGAATGGAAAACAAAACAAAGCTTCAATTTAAAATAAAATTTTTAGCTAAATTAAAAAATAAGGTAGACATTGAAAACTATAGGCAGGCTCAAGGTAGTATTAATTAGATGACAATCTTTGACAGTACATAAATCCTGTAATTAAAAAGTTCTGGAAAGGAGCAAGTGCTAAAGAAGAGACAATTAAATCATTGAAGAAATTTTGCATTTACAAGAAGAATCTCCAGAAAGAATTATATCAACAGTTTTTAGAGAGGTGAGAAATTGGCCTGCAGGGTTTTTGAGAAAAGGTGATGGACATAGCTAACACAGAGAGTTGCTTAAAATGTTTGGGAGAATTGCAGACAATTCCCCCATTTGAACTGAACCAGTGTTTTGACAACAGCCACAATTATCAGAAAAACCACAGATGCAAAATCTACATATCCTGCAGCCACTAGCCATTATGAAAGAAAACTCTAAATTTTTGCAACAGAGAAACAGGCACTCTACCTTCTGTCTATCTACTGGAGTCCAACAGCAAATGAGGTTCCTACATGACACACATACTGCCATCAGCAGTGAGACGGCTGTCCTGCCACAGTTAAGACTCAGTGATATGGATCTGTAGACCTAATGGTGCAAATCATCTGGGCACACATCTCATTTCAAATGCATTGAGTGTAACAGAACTACTCATTCACATCCTTTGAGACCTTATGATAACAAACTGACATTATTTTTATTTTCTTCTTAAATATTAAAATGACTGACAACTTTTTTTTTTTTTTTTTTTTTTAATAGCGAAGTTGTTAGTTTCCATTTTCCTGGTCAGATTCTAATTTGTTTCATTAAGATTTCCTCTTCAATATCATTGTATACAATACTTCCATTCATTTAGTAGTCAATTGTTGTGGCATACTGCTGTGTCCTACTAAACCACTCTTATTTTTTACCCATGGGAGATATATTTCTAGTGGAGGGATGAGATCACAGTCATCATAATAGGCTTGGTTTGTCAGATAAAATTCTTTGGCTATAAATATTTCTATGTATGTGCATCATCAGTTGTCATTACAGCCCATTTTAAAGCAGTCAGGATTTTTTAAATTTAGTCTGACCTTTAAAAAATATTATAAGTGATTAATTGTGTATATATGTATCTCACACATAAGAGTGACTGAGAAGACCACTCAACACAAGTATGCCTGTTTATTTTCTGTCTTTTATTTCAGTGACACCTCATAACAAGACTCTCTTTGTTATACAGGAAAGGTTTTGAGAAACAGAAAATGGAAACGTGTGGAAGAAATTAACAGGCTGACATGAACCTGGCAATGAACAAGCATCAACTACATAGTACCAGCAGGAGCACTCAGCCTGACAATATCTGTTTGCTGTCAGTCACATAAATAAACTGAAATGTTATTGCACTTGTATTTGCACAAAGACATTTTTATTATTTCTACTGGCCAGTCCTTTGGGTCTGAAAGACAGAATGGTGTAGGGAGACATGATAACTCCATCTCATATGATCCAGTTGGCAGCAACCTCAGCCCCAGATGATGAGGGAAAAAGGATGGATGGGTAGCTCATGAGGTCATATATTGCATTTTTTCCATTAAACTGATGAATGAATGCCTGGATACAAGCCATTCCATGGGTATTACTTAGCTTTCTCTGCCCAGAATTATACTGTGTTTTGTAAGATTTGGTTTCTCCTAGTGCTGTTCATTCAGAATACCTTCCACTTTCCTCACTGGAGGAGCTAACATCTGTCAATAGGCAGCTTTGTCTCCATTTAAATTGTAATGCTGGAGCACAGACAATAGTTATGTGGATCCTAAGCAAGGTGCTCTGATAGACTTTTTAAAACAAAAACACTGTTTGGGCACACACATACCTGCATCGCTGTATGGTTGGCCATCAAAATAAGTGCAAAACTTGATCATAAGTTATTCAATAATTTCACATAAGGTGAAAGTATGCAAATACTGAATTGATTTTGTTATGGACAAATGTTTGCAAAGTCTTTTCTGTAACATTTTTACAAAGGCAAACAACCCTATTAAATACCAAAATAAAACAAACTCCTGATTCCTGTATTGGATTCAGTGAGAACATGGCTATCTTCACAGCTTTTTCGCATCTTTTCCTGCTATGAATCAGGTTTGTTATAACCTGTCTGCCCTGGAGGAAAACACCTAGATCTAAATTGTAAAATATTTAGTTATTTTTCCATGAGAAATGTTTCATTTGTAGCTCACTGATTGTCATGAGGTAGGAAACAGCTGAAGTAATTCACTGGTCTGAATTTTTTTTGTTTTTTTCAAAAAAATAACAATAAAAATGAGAAGTGTTTGAAAAAGAAAATAGATGGATTGATTCTGATTTAATGGAAAACTGTACAGACAACAACTATTTTGATGTAGGAAATGTAAGGTCAGGATGTAGGAATGAAGAACATGACCTAAGTACACAGGACAGAAAGTCCCATCCTTGCAAGCAAGGAGTCTGAAAAATTATGAAATGAGATAAGCACTTTTTATATCTGAAAACCAGGCAAGGCCAAAAAGTAATTCAAAGGTGGCAGATTCCATAATACACATGCAAAAACACCCCCACCACAGCTAGTTGTTTTGATTAGCTGTGCTATCTTCCCTTAGAGACTATATGGAAAAATTAGAGATGTTTCATAGAAGAAAATCAGGAGAGGAAAAAAAAAATGTACCTTAACATGAAAGACAATGCTTGAGATTTCATTTCTGCAAAGAAAGTTTAACAGTTAGGAAATTAATGTTGAAAATATTTTTTTTTCAAACTATTAGACAAATGTAAAAATATCCAAAAGGTGGAAGTTATAACCAGACAAATGCAGATGAGACATTAGTTTAATATGTAGGAAGAAGAAAAGTGAATCACCAATACAATATGAAAGTTTTATAGTGAATTTTGTTGCTTTGAATACTTTTTTATAACAAATGCTACATATTCCTTCTAAAAGAAAATAGCTGTAGCTCAACTCCAGCTATTAGACTTGAAGCGAGTACCAGCCTACTCATTAGCTGCCCAGCTTAAATTTCAAGCAAACCAAACTATAATGAGTCTAGTTATCTCCTTTCATGTTTTTAATTCTGACAAAGAATTGAATTTCTTCCTAGGCTTTGCAATGTCTCCAATTTTCCAAACTTTTTATAAAATTAATATCAATTATATGGATAAATTATCAGGATTTTTTTTTAATGAGGTGAAGCTATTTTAAAATATTTAATCTCAGATTTTATGGCTGCTTTTGTACTACTTTTCGTAAAGAATTCATCATCACTGTCAACAGATATGAAGAGACTCTGTCCAATTCTCTTTACATTCAAGATGGACAGATGTTATAAATTTTTAGAGTGCTGTAAATGTATCCTTATGATACATTAAAAATAATGTTTAATCCTATTCAATATGTTTTACCTTCTCCTAATAGTTGCTTTACTCAAATTACAGTTGTACAACTTAATTCACATAATGACTACTCTATTATTAATGAATAAATTTAATTATTATTTCTGTTGCTTTTATACTGAAGCTCAGAGAAAAAAAAAAAACATATCGCCCATACATTTTTTTTTCTTTTTGTTATGGCAAGCTGGAAGACACTTGAAATATATCTCATGGAAAAGGTGTCAACACTGTATTGTTAATTCTCACTTTTCAAATGCATCAGTTACTGCCAGATAAGATCAAACAAAAAAAAAAAAAAGTGTAGTGATAATAATGTTTACTTCCATGGAAGTCTTCTTTTATAAACCTTAAGGAATAAGCACGAAGTCACCCGAGCAGAAACCTAGCACTCGTCATTTTGTTTTTACTTTGAACAAACCAACAATTCAAGTCAAATGTCATCAGTACAGTTACAGCAGCAGAAACACTTAAAGCAGAACAGGTCACTAAAACAACACTGAGGTATTCTCTGACAGTATAATTAATGTCAAGAGATGACATTTGGGACAGAAGAAAATATATGAATATATCAGTGTAAGTGAAATCTCCCGTTCAATTAACAGGAAGTGACTGATTCTAATTACACATCAAAACACAGCACTTTTTAGATTACTGAAAAAATGTAATGCATAGAACTTTAATGTAAGTGAACCTAAAATTTTCAAGAATGTACAAAGAAACAAAAATATATTGTCCATTATTATGTCACTGGCATTGACTACAATGAGATTCAGCCTAGAAGTATTTGTTATTAATACTTGTTAATATATTCTAGATATTTAGGAAAGGAATAATATCTAGAATACATGCCTAAGGAAAAGTGATACTTAGCTTTAACAATAAACTTCAAGAAAAGTATAGTTTTTCCTGTGTGAATACATATGATTGAAAAAGAGTATTAGCAGGTAGCATTTTTGTGACCAACAATATACACTCCATTTATCTGAAGATGCACATGCTTAGATGGTGAAAATTACTTTTTTGTTGGTTTTGTGGATGTCTGTTTCTTTTATAAGACTTATATATGTCATAAAAGTATTTGATTCTAGCTGTCATCTGACCTGACGTAACTTCTTAGAAAGGAGCTGGTACCTATCAGATCTGTTCTCAATGACAGGAACAAAATAGAGACATACATAGTGCTAAAAACTTTTCCAATCATTTTGTTCACCATGTTTGCCTTTGTGATGGCTAGTCCAGGTTCTGGAGTTCACTGACAAAGTAAGGTGTGTTCTTTTTTTTTTTTTTTTCCTGTAGAATATCAGCTCACTGAGCTGGATTCACAGGATCTAGAGAAGGTTTTGTTGCACATCAAATTGGGGTTGCTGTGCAACATGCAAATAATCAACTCCCTATCCTGGTTGCCTCTTTACATCCTTATATCTGTGCAGTTGTAGGAGCTATTTACTTTACTATATTAAAAAGTATCTTATTTTTAAAATAATCCTTGTGGCAGAGTACAAAATCATTATATCAGATTATTTTTAAAATTGCTGCAATCTGTTGGTTTTTTTCCTTAGATTCTCAAGAAATTTAATTTTTATCTAAGGTAATTCTAAAATTATTCAAATATATTTCTCAACTGAAATCATGTGTGCAGGAATAAAAGCAAGTAGTCTAATCAGATAAATTTATAGTGAAAATGAGAATCTAATGAAGCAGTTAATGTATTGAAAGTGTCCTGTGATGTGGACTGTGAAAGATCAGTATTGTCTCAAAGTCCAGCCTCTGAAATTGTTCAGCCTCTGACTCCTCTGCATTTCTGTTTCTTAGCTGTGATTTATTAGCATGCTTTTATTTAACATCTTTGATCCAGTATGTCAAGGAAAAAAAGTATTATTCTTTATTTTTATTTGGGTTTATTATCTTAGTTATTTCACTATGTTTTAATCAAAGTATTGGAATTTTTCAGTCAGCTAGCTCCTAAATGTGAAGTAGAAGAGAATGAATGGAAGGGGGAGGTGGATAATTCAGCTCACAAGGAATGATCCCATGTAAGATCTTTCTTTCAGGCAACGTCAGATCACAAGTCACGCACTCAATCCTCTTCTGTTGAGAGCTGCTACTGGTAAAATCAGCAAGAGAAACCAGGTTTCTGAAAAATACCTTAGACAAGTGTCTCCAGTGGGTTGGATTTATCTGTATGTTTTGTTCTCAGTGACACCATCAAGACTGCGGTACGTACCAGAAAAGAGACATTTGTTATCATAAAAGTTGTATTTTCAGAAATATAAATATCCTCTATTATTAGACATCCTCAAGTTACACAAGCAAAAATTTGACGGATATAAACTTTGAATTTAGGCAGCTATCTAAGTTAAACCTCTCTACTTTCAGTGATGTCCCTGCAACTCTGTAAAATGGTTATAATTTAAATTCCAAGGGATGTTATAATGGCAACTGTCTGGAGACTGAAAATATAAGTTAGATAAGTAATTAAAGGATAAGTAGCTTTTGCAATTTTTATCTCCACAGGTTGCCCAATATCCTAAAACTAATAGTATTTTGTTTTCAGTGTACTGGAAAGTCTCCCAGAAAAGAAACTGAAGCCATCATACACACACATACACCACGCCTGCCCTACTCTCCCAACAGTCTTGAATAGATGTGGTTTCTGAAAGATTGTTATTGCAGTTAAAAGGATTATAAATTTCATAAATTCTGATTATGGACTTGTATTTCTTTTTATTGATCCTTTTGGGGAGACTAATTTAATAACCTAGATGAGGATGTATCCGCATTTGTTGGGAAAATTTGTTCAGAGCTATGAAAATGACTTTGTGAAATGGCTTGACTGGTCTTTTGCCAACATGCTTCCCATCAGGATATAAGAAGCAGCATAAGAAAGACCTCAGAATTGTTCCACAATGACAAAAAATAACAGGTAACCATGCTGCATAGTTATGCCCTTTAAAAGACTGACAATATACAGTAAATATTTTTTT